TAGAGTCAGACCTACAGCCAATCAGAGCAACAAAACGTTGGGTCTGCGTCATGCATTACTGATTGAGATCAGTCGGAACCGCCATTCAGTATCCCTATTGGATCTTCAACGTGTACTATCATACGTCACGTTCACAGTGATCCCTTTTTATTTACTACAAGACAAATGTGCCGTTTTATTTCATACAGTTCCATTTTGATTGAGATAGGGAAATAATCTAAACCTCACGTGTGGCGTTTCACTGTCAAAGGGGGCGATATAGCGTGTATGTAATTACATTGCAAATACTGACTTGAGCCCCACCACTGTAGGCTATGGGTTACCCAACAAAAATACTCTGGCGCCGCCACTGCTTGCTGGATTTACCTCACTTCAGACTTTAAAGTGAAGGTGACCTTTGATTTGAAGTCGGGACTTTTGATCTTTGGGAGTCACTCCAGTTAGACAGAAGTGAACACTGTTCAAAAAAGAAGTTCCCAGAGCACTGGAGCATGGTGCTGCTGATGCAAAGTGTCTCTCTATGGAAATGCTCTGACTGACTCCAACAGGGACCTGGATTATTGATCACGAGGAAGAAGATAAAGAAGATGGACCTCCCCTGGGGAAAGATTCTGTTTCCACTCTGTTTTTTGTACACACACACATTACAAGTACATAGGTGCACAGGAACATGTGCCAGGGAGCACATGGGGGTCCGGTGCCCTGCTCAAGGGCACTGCCGCCCGGAATGGGTCAGGGCTCACTTGTTCTTTCCAAAAAGTATTTTTCAATTTCATATAATTCACTCCCACACAAATCAATGCTCTCTTCCTCCACAACAATCTAAAATAAAGCTTTATAAAATGACAATGATTTACATTTTGCCCGATTGATTCAAAATCTTTCTTAAGAAATTGCGTAATTATATGTACTTCATTCAATATGAATATTTTGCTTTTTAAATGTATAACAGCTAACAAAAAAAGATTCAATACTTCTCCATAGTGTGTGAATCTGTTTCAAACATTTGAAGCAGTAATTATATAAACTGGGTAAACTGTGGATGTGTTTGGTGAGTTTGTTTGTGTCAAAGTCAGAGAGCCGTGTCTCTCTACAGTGAGAGGTTTTTGTACGGCGGCTCAATGACTTTGTATCACTGTGGTACACGTTCGGTGGAGGAACCAGACTGGATGTTGGAAGTAAGTCAAATGTTAATTTATAAGAGACATTTCTATTTTGTTGTACTTTTTATTTAGCAAACTAAGAGAAATAGTTGCCTCTCCATGTCATTGTATAAATTCTTCTCAAATATTTTGCACTGAGAGGCTAACTTTACTCCAGCAAAAGACGTTTAAATGTTTTCATGAGAGTTAAACATTGAACAGAGAATAAATCATTATTTCCACCTTTAATGGTGAAGTAGCATCTTGAGGGCTGGTAGGTTTAGTTCAGTGTGTCAAAGTCAGAGAGCCGTGTCTCTCTACAGTGAGAGGTTTTTGTACGGCGGCTCAATGACTTTGTATCACTGTGGTTGACTTTTGGTGGAGGAACCAGACTGGATGTTGGAAGTAAGTTTCTGCACAAAAACTAAATATGATGTTGTTAAGAGATGTTTTAATTCTGTGTTGGAATATTTGAGAGATAGATTTTTATTATTTTAATTGTAATGTTTAGATAGTATTAATATTCATGTTTTTATTTCTCTTCATCATTGAGCAAAGTCGGAGCAGCTTTTCTTGAAATGTCTTTATACATTCCCAACAAACTGTCATTTAAACAGCTTCAAATGTGAAAGGATAAAACTGCAAATGTTAAAATAATTTTTCCTTAACTTATTTTGAATTTTCTATCTCGGTTCTCCCTTCTGTTTTTGAATAAATTAAGAATACAGTTTTTAAATACAGATGAACAGAGTAAAGATATCGACGGATATTAAAAATGTGTTGAATTATTTCAGACATTATTTTAAAGTTTGTAAAACTGGGTAGTGATTGAGATTCAAATTGAGATCAATTGATTGCTCCATTTCCTGTATTTGTTCATTTATCCACTACTGTAAATCATTTAATAATGGTTTGTAGAGTTCAGGTTTTGGATGATTTGAACAACTACTACTTAAAATGTGTCCTAATGTTGTACTTTATTTCCAGTGTAGTCTGACATATTTCAGGTGATTCTGTATGAAGTGTCTCTGTGCTGATTTGCATGAGAGGCTTCTTAAAGGGAAGTGAAACAATGTGTGAGTGAGAGACTGATGGAGCAGAACCAACATCTGACAGAAACTCCTTAAAGGAGAAACACTCTCACAGTAAAGGTGTCCCAGTGTCTGCTGGTTGATTGACAGCTGTTTGCTCCCTGTCCTCTAATCTGATTGGTGTCTCCTAGGTGATGTCCGTCCCACCCTGACGTTGCTGCCCCCCTCCAGAGAAGAGCTGCAGCAGGGGAAGGCCACGCTCATGTGCCTGGCCAACAAGGGCTTCCCCTCAGACTGGAGTCTGGCCTGGAAGGTGGACGGCAGCAGCAGCAGCAGCAGCTGGGAGGAGAGCAGGAGCCCCGGGGTGCTGGAGAAGGACGCCCACTACAGCTGGAGCAGCACCCTGAGGCTCTCTGCAGATCAGTGGAGGAAGGTGCGCTCTGTGACCTGTGAGGCCACCCAGGGCTCCCAGACTCCGCTCTCAGAGACACTGAGGAGAGACCAGTGTTCCCAGTCCTGAGCTGACTCACTGGGACTCTGCTTTCTCTCTCACACTGCTCTCAGTCTGCTCTCTGGCTCTCAGGACATGTTTCAACATCAACCTGTTTTTGCTTTGTCGATGGTTTCAACATTTTAAAAATAATAAAGATGAATATGTGTATTTTAAAAGTCTTCTGATTCCCTTTCTCTGAGATATATATAAAAGGAACCTTATTCACATGAATTCACAAAAGCCACAACATTCATAATGATACATTTGTTCCAGATACTTGTTAATAATTGCTAGACTGTTGATGTACTTCTGCATTCATTTAGGTTCTATCTATGTTATGAATTAGTTCCAATAACCTTAGTAGGAACATTTCAATGGTAAACCACAAAGCTCTTATAACTGATGTTTAATTTATTCTCTATGTTATGTTCATGTGTTGTTAAATGTTACCCTGAATTAATTCTGGACATCTGACTCAATAAGAATAAGAAATTCAGGATAAGAAATAAAAAGCAGGGTATCATCTGCATAAAGTTATACAACTGGAATCTAAATTGAGATGACCTTAAAGGTCCCTTATTATACTCCTTTCCAACAATATATTATAGGTCTCAGATATTTACAAACCATGTCTCTGAAGTGTTTGGCTCTAGAAACCACTGAGATCATGCATGGTATAATGCAGTAAACCCCTCTGTTTCAGCCCTGTGTTTGGTTTGAAACACACAGAGGTGCTCTAGGAGGAGAATCAGGTGATAAGGTGGGCGGGTGTTACCTTGGTTATTGGCTAATGGTTACACAGCCCAAAAAAACATTGTGACATCACAAAGTGGCCAAAATCTGATCAGCTCATTTTCAGACAGGTTTTTATATAGATGGATCAGGACCAAAAGAGACAGATTATTTTGTCCTGAAACTTTCATAATCTCTTTACACAGAGGGGACACATATGTATGTATAAAATATATGGAAAAGTGGATTTTGCATAATAGTTGACCTTTAAATCTTATTTAATGGACTCATTACAACTCAACCTAAAATGTTGATACACCAGTCTCTTTCCTCTTGCAGTTTGTTCTGTTTGCAGAATCAATACATTTAATGATTTTTCGCTGATTGAATTCAAACTGATATTTGACTAAAACAAAGACCTAATTGTGGCTGTGCCTGTCGCTGTGGTCCTGAGTCGTGGTCCTGAGTCGTGGACCCTGAGTCGTGGTCCTGAGTCGTGGATCCTGAGTCCTGGTCCTGAATCGTGGATCCTGAGTCGTGGACACTGGGTCATGGATCCTGAGTCGTGGACTTCATCTTCAAGTCAAGGTAAGACCACAATTGTATTGAAAATGGGATCTTACTAAGAGAGAACAATCCAATATTTAAATGATCAAATTACATTTGTTGGGTATCCTTTTGTTGAACTGTCTGTTTAAAATTAATCGAAGCGTCAGACTAAAAAAGCTTTTGAAAATAATATTATATTTTGATTTAGGTCAAAATATAATATTTGTAAACTTGAAGAGTCAGTGCCAGTGCCTCACCAGCCATGAACCTCACTGCACGTCACTGCAGAAGCTTACATTAGTATTATGGTTGCTCTCAAAGGGCCGGTTGTAACTATATAAATATATAATATATATATAAAATAATGTATTATATTACATTATTGCCTCTGAATTGGATTATTATCGGATAGGGTAATAACTTAGTAATTAACTACGTCTGAAAGCAGAAGTCCAGGGCAAATAATTGCAAGTCCCTTCAGTGTGCATGTCACAAAATGAGATGCATTGTGGGACATGTAGTTTATGGGCAACCTGCTTCTGTAAAGTGGCATGTAACCGTATAATAAACGTATTATATTCTTTGCAAGCTCTTGCAGGGCCACATCAAATGAAGTCGCGGGCCGGATTTGGCCCCCGGGTCTTGAGTTCGACACCCCTGCTCCAGAGGCTAAATCAGCATGTTAATCGTTGTCACATAGCTATCATATACCTAAAACAGTGTGTCCTGACGCTCTTCTAGGTAATCATACATCCTGTTACGTACACAGGCCTTTGTTATCATGTGCTACTCTGATATTGGAAGAGTACATTCAGTATTTTCCCAACATGCTCTTAACCTTTTTTTAATTTATATTACCATATTTTATTCAATATGCTCCTTAGATAACTTTTTATTTTATTTGTTTTATTATTTTCTCCTTATAGCATTGTGAAGCACCTTGAGATGACGATGTTTTTAAAGTGTGCTATATAAATGAAATGTTATTATTATTATTGTTAAATGACTTTAGAAAGCAAACATAAAAAGTAGGAATGTAGCATTCACTCAATATTTATACAAAATCTACATTAGTTTATTAAATATGTGCTATAATGTCACTTGGGGTTGACAGTTATTAGGGCCAATGTTATAGAGTGGCTATTAAAGCTGTTAGCAAACCTTTTGGTACTCACAAATCACAAAGAAATTGTAAAACTATTTTTAACTGAAATATTCAAATCTTTTGAATGCTGAAAGTGCTGTTGTGGTATTACATTAAAAAATGTTAGTTAATGAATCTTATAGTTATTTTCTTTTCTGTGCAGTTGTTCATTCAGATCACTTCCTCTTTATTTGAGGAGGTTTTTGTACGACGTTGTATCACTGTGTGAACGGCCGGCTGCTACACTGCTGACAATAATAATCTCCTGCATCTACAGTCTGAACTCCAGTGACGGTCAGAGTGTAGACAGTCCCAGATCCACTTCCACTGAAACGATTTGAAACTCCAGACTGAAGAGATGTAGCATGATATACCAAGAGTTTAGGAGCTTCTCCAGGTTTCTGAAGGTACCAGTTAAGGCATCCACCAACACTTGTACTGGCTGTACATTTGATAGAAAGAGTCTGTCCTGGAACAACAGACAGAGATCCAGGAGACTGAGTCAGGAGGATTTCTCCTGATGAATCTGGAAAACATGAAAACAGCAGAAGGGTTATTGAGACAATCAGCGTGGAGAAAGATGATCAACATCCAAACAGAAGAGCATCCTCTCTTTAACATGGAGAACAGATGGAAGAAGGTACATGCTGCTTGTCTCAGTGCTTCTCCATCATAGCAGATCATCATGTTGGGGAACCTGGTTGCATCCTGAAGCAAAGTTTTCAGAAGAGAGTCTCACCCTGAACAAGGAGCCCCAGGGTGGCCAGCAGTAGAGTCAGTGACATCATCATTGTGCTGCCGGTGTGTCAGTGGCTCTGAAAGGTCTGGACAGCCGCTGATCACCTCTGGCCTCTTAACGTCTGGGAGCAGAGAGGCAGGACACATATGCAAACACACAGAGTCAGTGAAGTGTAGCTGTCCTCAAACAGCATGGTGTTCCCCCTCAGTGCTGACAGCATTCACTGTTTCATGTTTCACTACATAATGGGCTCTCAAAGATTACTATGTCGTACACAAGTTCATTTGGTTCACACAAAGCAGCAAGTTGAGCCTGTTGGTGAGAATATTTTAAAGTGTAGATATATATGTTGTTCAACACACGTGAAAGAAAAAAAGGTTGTTGATACAGATTGTTAAAAGGTTTCACACCAGAATACAAATTCAGCGTTGCAAGTTTTCTTATACAGTAGCTACTTTAATTTACATGATTCATTTTGACAAAAATGTAAAGTCCGAGTCGGCAATTCATCCTTTTTGTAAATCTAAAAGGAGAGTGGCATTAGACAGAATAATGTCTTTAATGGCTGATCACATTTACATATTTATTTGTCCATTTAAACTGTGTAACTCCATTTCTTCTTTACTTTCACAGCCATCACTCACTGAAATGTCCAAAGGACTGTTAAATGAACTTTGAACGCCCGTTACGGCTGCCGCCTTCCTGGTCGTCTTAACTGGGTGTTTCTCAATCACGAGTACGCTTGCTTGGTAGCACATGTCTGCCGAGCATCTTGCTTCAGAAGCGAGGCAAGAATACTTGCTGGCATTCGGAAAACGATGAGTGGAACAGGCTAGCAAGTGTGCAGGTGGGCGTCATGGCCCCGCCTTACATTTTCCGCCACAGATTTGGGGAAATTGGTCCGTGCGCAAAGCATTGTGGGGGTGCCCCCGAAGATTGTGATTGGAGCACGCCGGCCCGACGCACTCCAATCGCAGCGCACAGCCGGCGCATACCTGCTGGAGATGACTTCAAAGCCTGTGGGTGTTTCTCAATCGCGAGTAAAGCTGCTTCAGAGCCACTATTTCAAGCATACTACGTCATCGAGTGCCGCCGAAGTACTGTTCCAATCTCTAGCATACTTGGAAATCTACCGAGCCCGGCGTACTCCGTTTGGAGAAATATCGAGGCTGCACATGAGTAGACTCCGCGGTCTTAAAATCCCCACAATGCTTTGCGCATGGACCAATTTCCTCAAATCTGTGGCGGAAGATGTAAGGCGGGGCCTATCATATGACGCACACCTGCACACTTGCTAGCCTTCGTTTTCCGAATGCCAGGAAGTATTCTTGACTCGCTTCTGAAGCAAGATGCTCGGCAGACATGTGCTACCAAGCAAGCGTACTCGCGATTGAGAAACACCCTGTGACTGACGATCACTCTGGAGGCTCTGTTGTGTGAACAGACGCCTCTCGCTACTTGCTCTTGGTTTGTGTATAAATCTGTTAGCAGTGGTTAACTTGTTTGGTCTGTGTTCAGTAGTGTTGTTATGATTAGATGTGACTAGAGTAGCTTAGCCTTTACGTTGAGTGTAGTTATTTAGCTTAGCTGTGTTTTCTTACAGCCTCCTTTTCATTAGTTTGTACCACTGTGATAGTGAGGGTTATTTTGTTTATTATGTATATTCCTTTGTATTTAAGTAGGCTCACTTATTAGAGTCCTCCCTTTGTTGGTTATCCATTTAAATCGGCGCCCTGTTGGCCTTTTTGTTTGCTCCTGGCTGCTTGTCTGCCATTTTGTTCTTTTGTTATAAACTCCCTTATAATTATACCAATTCCAACTGGTGTGTGTAGTTTCCCTCTACCCCTAGAGGGGGACGTAACACTGCCTCTTTGAAAAGATCTCATGTAACAGCTTGATTTGTATTCATGGTTCCACATTAAATAAAGAATCCAGTTTAAGATACTTGTGATCCCTTTTAGAGCTCTGCATGGTCAGACAGCCTCCTTTATCTCTGACCTTCTACAGGGCTGTATCACTAGGAGGTCAGGAACGTCTCATGATCAGGGCTTGCTGGATTTACCTCACTACAGACTTTAAAGTGAAGGTGACCTTTGATTTGAAGTCGGGACTTTTGATCTTTGGGAGTCACTCCAGTTAGACAGAAGTGAACACTGTTCAAAAAAGAAGCTGAGGACCCATGAGTTTAGTGTGGCTATTTTTTAGTATTTTACTATGGTGTGTATGAGTTCATTCACTTAATATATTATTAGAAATATTTCAGAAGTGTTTGCTTGAAAAAGAAAAAAGTTATACGCGTAATGGAGATGAAAGTGTGTGTGTGTGTGTGTGTGTGTGTGTGTGTGTGTGTGTGTGTGTGTGTGTGTGTGTGTGTGTGTGTGTGTGTGTGTGTGTGTGTGTGTGTGTGTGTGTGTGTGTGTGTGTGTCAGTCAGTTCAGTTCCTGTTCAGTCTGACTGAGGGAGGTTTTTGTACGACGCTTTTTCACTGTGTGAACACCCACTGACTGTTGGGGTTATGTACACTCTGACAGTAGTAAACTGCTGCATCATCAGTCTGGACTCCACTGATGGTCAGAGTGAAGTCAGAGTTTGATCCACTGCCTGTAAAACGGTTTGAAATCCCTGATTCTCGAGTGCTAGTATCGTAAATGAGCAGTTTAGGAGTTCCTCCATCTCTCTGTTGGTACCAGGCTAAATCGTCACTATAAATATTCTGACTGGTCCTACATGTGATGGAGACGGAGCGTCCCGGAGCAGAGCTCACTGCTCCAGATTGAGTCACTGTGATCTGGCCTCTGGACTCTGAGGATACAGAGACAAAGACATAAAGCAGCGTCATGGTTTTGTCCGCTTCATTTCAGAGGGACGGATGTTCACAGAGGAGAGGAGTTTGATTCTCTGGACTTTACCTGTGAAGCAGCAGCAGAGGAGAGTCCAGATGAGGACGCAGATCAAAGTCATGTTTTTGATGAGGAGGATTTCTGTGGCTTCTGTTGTCATGAAGGACAGCTGTCAGTCATCCAGTGTTCAACTCTCAGGACTATAAGGTCTCCCAGAGCACTGGAGCATGGTGCTGCTGATGCAAAGTGTCTCTCTATGGAAATGCTCTGACTGACTCCAACAGGGACCTGGATTATTGATCACGAGGAAGAAGATAAAGAAGATGGACCTCCCCTGGGGAAAGATTCTGTTTCCACTCTGTTTTTTGTACACACACACATTACAAGTACATAGGTGCACAGGAACATGTGCCAGGCAGCACATGGGGGTTCGGTGCCTTGCTCAAGGGCACTGCCGCCCGGAATGGGTCAGGGCTCACTTGTTCTTTCCAAAAAGTATTTTTCAATTTCATATAATTCACTCCCACACAAATCAATGCTCTCTTCCTCCACAACAATCTAAAATAACGTCATTACATGTACTTCATTCAATACGAGTATTTTGCTTTTTAAATGTATAACAGCTCATAAAAAAAGATTCAATACTTCTCCATAGTTTGTGAATCTGTTTCAAACATTTGAAGCAGTAATTATATAAACTGGGTAAACTGTGGATGTGTTTGGTGAGTTTGTTTGTGTCAAAGTCAGAGAGCCGTGTCTCTCTACAGTGAGAGGTTTTTGTACGGCGGCTCAATGACTTTGTATCACTGTGGTACACGTTCGGTGGAGGAACCAGACTGGAGTTTGGAAGTAAGTCAAATGTTAATTTATAAGAGCAATTTCTCTTTTGTTGTACTTTTTATTTAGCAAACTAAGAGAAATAGTTGCCTCTCCATGTCATTGTATAAATTCTTCTCAAATATGTTGCACTGAGAGGCTAACTATACTCCAGCAAAAGACGTTTAAATGTTTTCATGAGAGTTAAACATTGAACAGAAAATAAATCATTATTTCCACCTTTAATGGTGAAGTAGCATCTTGAGGGCTGGTAGGTTTAGTTCAGTGTGTCAAAGTCAGAGAGCCGTGTCTCTCTACAGTGAGAGGTTTTTGTACGGCGGCTCAATGACTTTGTATCACTGTGGTTGACTTTTGGTGGAGGAACCAGACTGGATGTTGGAAGTAAGTTTCTGCACAAAAACTAAATATGATGTTGTTAAGAGACGTTTTAATTCTGTGTTGGAATGTTTGAGAGATAGATTTTGATTATTTTAATTGTAACTTTAAAGTAGTATTAGTATTCACTTTTGTATTTCTCTTCATCATTGAGCAAAGTCGGAGCAGCTTTTCTTGAAATGTCTTTATACATTCCCAACAAACTGTCATTTAAACAGCTTCAAATGTGAAATGATGAAACTGCTGTTTTTTCCTTAACTTATTCTTAATTTTCTATCTCGTTTCTCCCTTCTGTTCTCAAATAAATTAAGAATACAGTTTTTAAATACAGATGAACAGAGTAAAGATATCGACGGATATTAAAAATGTGTTGTATTATTTTAGACATTATTTTAAAGTTTGTAAAACTGGGTAGTGATTGAGATTCACATTGAGCACAATTGATTACTCCATTTCCTGTATTTGTTCATTTATCAACTAAATGATTTAATAATGGTTTGTAGAGTTCAGGTTTTGGATGATTTGAACAACAACTACTTAAAATATGTCCTAATGTTGTACTTTATTTCCAGTGTAGTCTGACATATTTCAGGTGATTCTGTATGAAGTGTCTCTGTGCTGATTTGCATGAGAGGCTTCTTAAAGGGAAGTGAAACAATGTGTGAGTGAGAGACTGATGGAGCAGAACCAACATCTGACAGAAACTCCTTAAAGGAGAAACGCTCTCACAGTAAAGGTGTCCCAGTGTCTGCTGGTTGATTGACAGCTGTGTGCTCCCTGTCCTCTAATCTGATTGGTGTCTCCTAGGTGATGTCCGTCCCACCCTGACGGTGCTGCCCCCCTCCAGAGAAGAGCTGCAGCAGGGGAAGGCCACGCTCATGTGCCTGGCCAACAAGGGCTTCCCCTCAGACTGGAGTCTGGCCTGGAAGGTGGACGGCAGCAGCAGCAGCAGCAGCTGGGAGGAGAGCAGGAGCCCCGGGGTGCTGGAGAAGGACGCCCACTACAGCTGGAGCAGCACCCTGAGGCTCTCTGCAGACCAGTGGAGGAAGGTGCGCTCTGTGACCTGTGAGGCCACCCAGGGCTCCCAGACTCCGCTCTCAGAGACACTGAGGAGAGACCAGTGTTCCCAGTCCTGATCTGACTCACTGGGACTCTGCTTTCTCTCTCACACTGCTCTCAGTCTGCTCTCTGGCTCTCAGGACATGTTTCAACATCAACCTGTTTTTGCTTTGTCGGTGGTTTCAACATTTTAAAATAATAAAGATGAATGTGTGTATTTTAAAAGTGGTATGTCTTCTGATTCCCTTTCTCTAAAATATTATATATGTAAGGAACCTCATTCACATTAATTCACAAAAGATTCATCCTAGTTTTATTTGTGTTAATCAAGATTGGTACCAATAACCATAGCATGAACATTTTAATGGTAAACCGCAAAGCTCTCTCTTATCACTAATGTTAAAGTAAATCCATGTGTGATGTTCATGTGTTGTTAAACTTTACCTTGAATATATTCTGAAAATCTGAATCAAATATATTTCCAGGATTATAAAAAGCAGTAAATAATCTGCATAAAGTTAAATAACATAAATCTAAATTGATATTTTACCTATCTAGATGAAACATCACATACAGTACTACAGTCTCTGTCTTTTTAGCAGAATTTAAACATTGATTTTTCGGTACTTGAATTGAAACAAATATTATACTAAAATAAAGCTCCTATCGTCTTTTCCTAACCACTACTCCATGACGTCTGAGGGAAACGTCACCGGGTTAATGAATAGTGGTTTTTATGGTGTTGTTTTATGATTTTTGAACCTGGACAACAGTGAAAAATATATTATTCATTAGGTTGGAATTGAAATATAAACGTAAATTGAAACTTATTGTTGCTCACACGTATTAATCCACATGAATCCCAATACGTATGATTGTATGAGAATATTTAAAGTAAATACAATTGTATTTATTATAAACTTGTTAGGCCTCAACCTATCACTGTGTATATCACCAATCAAACGTGTTTGATAAAGTTTAAGAAACCTCAACTCAGTAAAGACTGAGAAATGTTGACTTTATTTGGTCATTTTACAGTTAAAATGTAACATTCATATTTTGTCTTTTGATTATTATAGTGTTGAACATTCAAAACCAATCCCTTTGGCAAGTTAAGATATAACTTGTAAAATGTTTATTAAGCACCGTAACTTTCATGATATTTAGTTCTCGGTCACTGTCGGTTGTTTCCGTGAACGGCCGAATGTTGTGTCCAGGTTAATGTCGCGGCCGCAAGGTATTGTGGGACAACATTTTCTTCTTTCCTTTCCTAAAGGAGTGTTTCCTAATCAAAGGAGTGTTTCATAGCTAAAGGAGGCTATAAAGGACGTTTCAAAGCTCCTTTCCTATCATCTAGAGAATTCCAACAGCTCATGTCATGGCTGCCACTGAGGCACTCCCGGGTCATTTCACTCCGTTAGAAACCTTCCTAAACTAAACTGACAATTCAAACGCAACTTAAGACCTATTCATCAGCTGTGTTCATGCATTATATAAACATAATGACTCATATGTTGCTGTGTCACATCAAAACAGTTTGTATCCAAAGAGACTGAGTTTGTCTCAGGGTCGGATCACTGAGATTTTATAATTCTCTTTTAGGTTTTAAAATATATATATTTTTAGAGTTCTTCCACTTTCTAGAGATAATCTAAATAACTATAAAACCTTAAATACATTTGAGCAAAAAACGTTAAGTATCATTAATATAATAATAATAATAATAATAATAATAATAATAATAATAATAACTTTATTTGTTTAGCACCTTTCATACAGGGGATTGCAGTTCAAAGTGCTTTACATCAGTAAGAAATAAGACATAACATCAGTGTAAAACAAGCAGCAAGAGCAAAGCATAAAGTGGGATACAATAATTAAACATAAAAACATGGGGAATAAAACATAGAGAAATAGTGCAGTATAATAGTGCAAAGTCAGTAAAATGCTTTGGTAAAGAGATAGGTTTTAAGCTGCCTTTTAAAAATGTCTAACGTATTGGCTTCCCTAATATTGTTGGGTAACGTGTTCCACAGTTTTGGGGCGTAGTTTACAAAGGCTGCATCACCGATCTTCTTATGACTCTTTCTGGTGACCTCTAATAGACCTGCATCTGATGATCGCAGTGTTCTGGCGGGTGTGTAGTTTATTAGAGAGTCAGCAATGTAGCTGGGTCCTTTGTATGTGAGGAGAAGCACCTTAAAATCAATTCTAAAAGTTACAGGAAGCCAGTGTAGAGGAGCTAACACAGGACTAATGTGTTCCCTCCTTTTGGTATTAGTTAGTCTAGCTGCAGAGTTTTGAATGAGCTGGAGTCTTTCAATAGTTTTCTTGGGGAGACCAGTGAATAGTGCATTGCAGTAGTCTAGTCGGCTAGATATAAAAGCATGAATTAGCTTCTCTGCATCATTTTGATTTATGAATGGTCGTACCTTCGCTATGTTTCTGAGATGAAAGAAAGCTATTTTGGTCACTTTGTTTAAATGGGCGTTGAAGTTCAAATCTGAGTCCAGGATGACACAGAGACTTGTCACCTCGGGTTTAATCCAAGTGGTTAAGCTTCCTAGATTATTTGTAAGCATCTCTCTTTTTTGATTTGTGGCCAACAAGTAGGACTTCAGTTTTGTCCTCATTCAATTTAAGAAAGTTATTGTTCATCCATTTGTTTATTGCTGTCAGGCAGTTGGTAATGGAGTTTATGGCTGTCGCATCATTTGGTTCAGCGGATATGTACAATTGTGTATCATCCGCATAGCTGTGGAAATCTATACCATACTCTCTGATGATGTCGCCGAGCGGTAACATATAGAGATAAAAGAGTAATGGACCTAAACAGCTCCCTTGTGCAACCCCGTAGCGGCTTTCATGTTTCTCTGATGTATGGCCTCCTAGACTAATATAGAACATCCTTCCTCTGATATATGTTTTGATCCAGTTCAACACGCAGCCAGAGAAACCAATAAGCTTTTCAAGTCGATTTATCAGGATGTTGTGATCAATAATATCAAAAGCTGCACTGAGATCTAATAGGATAAGGATGGAGATTTTATTTGCATCAGAGTTGAGTCTGAGGTCACTAATTACCTTTGTGAGTGCAGTTTCCGTACTGTGGTATCTTCTGAAACCTGACTGAAATACTTCTAAGATGTTGTTTTCTTTAAGATAGGAATTTATTTGGACTGAGATAATTCTTTGCAATATTTCACTGATAAACGGAAGATTTGATATTGGTCTGTGGTTTGCTACTGTGTTGTTATCCAAATTAGGTTTCTTTAATAGAGGCTTTACAACAGCTGTTTTAAAGGCATCAGGGAAGACGCCAGTTTTAAGGGATGTGTTTATAATGTCCAGGACCGCAGATGGGAATACATTGCAATCAGTTGAAAGCTATTTGCGTCCCTTTATGAAGCTGAAGGAGCCTAGGAGCGTCCCAACTGCACGCCTCGGGACCCTGACCAAGCGTCGCTCCTGGACGTTTATGGAATGAGAGTGTGTTGGTTTTAAAGGCATCAGGGAAGATGCCAGTTTTAAGGGCTGTGTTTATAATGTCCAGGACCGGACTGGAGACGCTATCAAACACTCGCTTAAAGAATTTTGTGGGGATAGGATCAATGTCTGAGGTTGTGGAGTTTGCTTCTGAGACAGTTTTACACAGTTTGCTTAGTGTGATGCATGTAAAGTTACTCATGGTTACATTACATACTCTACTGAGATCGGTTTCATCTCCACCTCCACTAGTAATGATACTAGCTCTGATTGAAGTTATTTTGTTCTAAAAAAACAGAGCAAATTCCTCACATTTAGCTGTTGAGGAGGGTGGGGGGGGCAGAGACAGTGTTTAGCAGCTGATCGATAGTGGAGAAAAGGACTCTGGAATTTCTGGCATTTTCTGTGATAATATTGGAAAAATAATCTTTCCTTGCTAGTCGGATAGTTCTGTTATAGGCAGTTAAAGCATCTTTGTAGATATCACAGCAGATAGTGGTTTTTGTATTCCTCCATTTTCTCTCTGCTGCACGACATTTCCTTTTTTTATATGTTATAAGTGTAATGTTTTCTGGACTTTTTGAAACATGAAAAGTACAAATTAAGCATTCACTAAATATTTCTAAATGAATCTATATTAATATATTTATTATCGGTTCAAATGTTAATTCGAATATAAAGTTGTAAGGGACGACATTAAAGAGTGGTAATTAAAGCTTTTAGCAAACTTATAATTACTCACAAACAACAACAAAAAATTACCTTAATAATAGCAATTGTTTGCATGCTGAAAGTGTTATTTTGTTATTAGTTTAAAATTGTATCTTAATCAAAGATATATTTTTTCCCTTTTTTCTATGCAGCTGTTCATTCAGATCACTTCCTCTTTATTTGAGGAGGTTTTTGTACGACGTTGTATCACTGTGTGAACGGCCGGCTGCTACTCTGCTGACAATAATAATCTCCTGCATCTACAGTCTGAACTCCAGTGACGGTCAGAGTGAAGACAGTCCCAGATCCACTTCCACTGAAACGATTTGAAACTCCAGAGTGAAGATTTGTAGCATGATATACCAAGAGTTTAGGAGCTTCTCCAGGTTTCTGAAGGTACCAGTGAAGGTATGTACCAGCACTTGTACTGGCTGTACATTTGATAGAAAGAGTCTGTCCTGGAACAACAGACAGAGATCCAGGAGACTGAGTCAGGAGGATTTCTCCTGATGAACCTGGAAAACATGAAAACAGCAGAAGGGTTATTGAGACAAACAGCGTGGAGAAAGATGATCAACATCCAAACAGAAGAGCATCCTCTCTTTAACATGGAGAACAGATGGAAGAAGGTGCATGCTGCTTGTCTCAGTGCTTCTCCATCATAGCAGATCATCATGTTGGGGAACCTGGTTGCATCCTGAAGCAAAGTTTTCAGAAGAGAGTCTCACCCTGAACAAGGAGCCCCAGGGTGGCCAGCAGTAGAGTCAGTGACATCATCATTGTGCTGCCGGCGTGTCAGTGGCTCTGAAAGGTCTGGACAGCCGCTGATCACCTCTGGCCTCTTAACGTCTGGGAGCAGAGAGGCAGGACACATATGCAAACACACAGAGTCAGTGAAGTGTAGCTGTCCTCAAACAGCATGGTGTTCCCCCTCAGTGCTGACAGCATTCACTGTTTCATGTTTCACTACATAATGGGCTCTCAAAGATTACTATGTCGTACACAAGTTCATTTGGTTCACACAAAGCAGCAAGTTGAGCCTGTTGGTGAGAAGATTTTAAAGTGTAGAAATATATGTTGTTCAACACACGTGAAAGAAAAAAAGGTTGTTGATACAGATTGTTAAAAGGTTTCACACCAGAATACAAATTCAGCGTGGCAAGTTTTCTTATACAGTAGCTACTTTAATTTACTTGTTTCATTTTGACAAAAATGTAAAGTCTGATGTCGGCAATTCATCCTTTTTGTAAATCCAAAAGGAGAGTGGCATTAGACAGAATACTTTCTTTAATGGCTGATCACATTATGGTCATTAAGATGAAACAAGGCCGTTTTATATGATGTAAAAATGAATATCATTGGTGGGGAATATAATTGTATGATGAATATACTCAGAGAAGATACCTGAGATGCTGATGCTTTTCTTTCATCTCCATAAAGTTGTATTATTAAAATTCTCAGATGCTCCTTTTTCCTCATCTGTTCAAATCTACTGTCTGAAATAGGGCTAACACTTTAGATCAGACATTGACTGTTGAGCAGCATGAAGTGTTGGATTCACATCTGTTGTTTACCGTTTACATTATTTGTTAAGTTGAATCCCAATGTGCTTCAAGCTAAGCTGGAGATGATCATTTACAGATTTATTTGTCCATTTAAACTGTGTAACTCCATTTCTTCTTTACTTTCTCAGCCATCACTCACTGAAATGTCCAAAGGACTGTTAAATGAACTTTGACCGGCTCTTTGAAAAGATCTCATGTAACAGCTTGATTTGTATTCATGGCTCCACATTAAATAAAGAATCCAGTTTAAGATACTTGTGATCCCTTTTAGAGCTCTGCATGGTCAGACAGCCTCCTTTATCTCTGACCTTCTACAGGGCTGTATCACTAGGAGGTCAGGAGCGTCTCATGATCAGGGCTTGCTGGATTTACCTCACTACAGACTTTAAAGTGAAGGTGACCTTTGATTTGAAGTCGGGACTTTTGATCTTTGGGAGTCACTCCAGTTAGACAGAAGTGAACACTGTTCAAACAAGAAGCTGAGGACCCATGAGTTTAGTGTGGCTATTTTTTAGTATTTTACTATGGTGTGTATGAGTTCATTCACTTAATATATTATTAGAAATATTTCAGAAGTCTTTGCTTGGAAAAGTGACACGCTTAATGGAGATGAAAGTGTGTGTGTGTGTGTGTGTGTGTGTGTGTGTGTGTGTGTGTGTGTGTGTGTGTGTGTGTGTGTGTGTGTGTGTGTGTGTGTGTGTGTGTGTGTGTGTGTGTGTGTGTGTGTGTGTCCTCAGTGAAGTGGATCAGTCCCTGCAGTAGCTTCCAGCTGCAGCAGTCAGTTCAGTTCCTGTTCAGTCTGACTGAGGGAGGTTTTTGTACGACGCTTTTTCACTGTGTGAACACCCACTGACTGTTGGGGTAATGTGCACTCTGACAGTAGTAAACTGCTGCATCATCAGTCTGGACTACACTGATGGTCAGAGTGAAGTCAGAGTTTGATCCACTGCCTGTAAAACGGTTTGAAATCCCCGATGCTCGAGTGCTAGCACGGTAAATGAGCAGTTTAGGAGTTGCTCCATCTCTCTGTTGGTACCAGGCTAAAAAGTCCCCATTATAAACCACCTGACTGGTCCTACATGTGATGGAGACGGAGCGTCCCGGAGCAGAGCTCACTGCTCCAGACTGAGTCACTGTGAACTGGCCTCTGGACTCTGAGGATACAGAGACAAAGACATAAAGCAGCGTCATGGTTTTGTCCGCTTCATTTCAGAGGGACGGATGTTCACAGAGGAGAGCAGTTTGATTCTCTGGACTTTACCTGTGAAGCAGCAGCAGAGGAGAGTCCAGATGAGGACGCAGATCAAAGTCATGTTTTTGATGAGGAGGATTTCTGTGGCTTCTGTTGTCATGAAGGACAGATGTCAGTCATCCAGTGTTCAACTCTCAGGACTATAAGGTCTCCCAGAGCACTGGAGCATGGTGCTGCTGATGCAAAGTGTCTCTCTATGGAAATGCTCTGACTGACTCCAACAGGGACCTGGATTATTGATCACGAGGAAGAAGATAAAGAAGATGGACCTCCCCTGGGGAAAGATTCTGTTTCCACTCTGTTTTTTGTACACACACACATTACAAGTACATAGGTGCACAGGAACATGTGCCAGGGAGCACATGGGGGTTCGGTGCCCTGCTCAAGGGCACTGCCGCCCAGAATGGGTCAGGGCTCACTTGTTCTTTCCAAAAAGTATTTTTCAATTTCATATAATTCACTCCCACACAAATCAATGCTCTCTTCCTCCACAACAATCTAAAATAACGTCATTACATGTACTTCATTCAATACGAGTATTTTGCTTTTTAAATGTATAACAGCTCATAAAAAAAGATTCAATACTTCTCCATAGTGTGTGAATCTGTTTCAAACATTTGAAGCAGTAATTATATAAACTGGGTAAACTGTGGATGTGTTTGGTGAGTTTGTTTGTGTCAAAGTCAGAGAGCCGTGTCTCTCTACAGTGAGAGGTTTTTGTACGGCGGCTCAATGACTTTGTATCACTGTGGTACACGTTCGGTGGAGGAACCAGACTGGAGTTTGGAAGTAAGTCAAATGTTAATTTATAAGAGCAATTTCTCTTTTGTAGTACTTTTTATTTAGCAAACTAAGAGAAATAGTGGCCTCTCCATGTCATTGTATAAATTATTCTCAAATATGTTGCACTGAGAGGCTAACTTTACTCCAGCAAAAGACGTTTAAATGTTTTCATGAGAGTTAAACATTGAACAGAAAATAAATCATTATTTCCACCTTTAATGGTGAAGTAGCATCTTGAGGGCTGGTAGGTTTAGTTCAGTGTGTCAAAGTCAGAGAGCCGTGTCTCTCTACAGTGAGAGGTTTTTGTACGGCGGCTCAATGACTTTGTATCACTGTGGTGGACTTTTGGTGGAGGAACCAGACTGGATGTTGGAAGTAAGTTTCTGCACAAAAACTAAATATGATGTTGTTAAGAGACGTTTGAATTCTGTGTTAGAGTGTTTGAGAGATAGATTTTGATTATTTTAATTGTAACTTTAAAGTAGTATTAGTATTCACTTTTGTATTTCTCTTCATCATTGAGCTTAAGTCGGAGAAGCTTTTCTTGAAATGTCTTTACATATTCCAAACATAATGTCATTTAAACAGCTTGGAATGTGAAAGGATGAAACTGCTGTTTTTTCCTTAACTTATTCTTAATTTTCTATCTCGGTTCTCCCTTCTGTTGTCAAATAAATTAAGAATACAGTTTTTAAATACAGATGAACAGAGTAAACGATGGATATTAAAACATGTGTTGAATTATTTTAGACATTATTTTAAAGTTTGTAAAACTGGGTAGTGATTGAGATTCACATTGAGCACAATTGATTACTCCATTTCCTGTATTTGTTCATTTATCCACTAAATGATTTAATAATGGTTTGTAGAGTTCAGGTTTGGATGATTTGAACAACAACTACTTAAAATGTGTCCTAATGTTGTACTTTATTTCCAGTGTAGTCTGACATATTTCAGGTGATTCTGTATGAAGTGTCTCTGTGCTGATTAGCATGAGAGGCTTCTTAAAGGGAAGTGAAACAATGTGTGAGTGAGAGACTGATGGAGCAGAACCAACATCTGACAGAAACTCCTTAAAGGAGAAACACTCTCACAGTAAAGGTGTCCCAGTGTCTGCTGGTTGATTGACAGCTGTGTGCTCCCTGTCCTCTAATCTGATTGGTGTCTCCTAGGTGATGTCCGTCCCACCCTGACGGTGCTGCCCCCCTCCAGAGAAGAGCTGCAGCAGGGGAAGGCCACGCTCATGTGCCTGGCCAACAAGGGCTTCCCCTCAGACTGGAGTCTGGCCTGGAAGGTGGACAGCAGCAGCAGCAGCAGCAGCAGCTGGGAGGAGAGCCGGAGCCCCGGGGTGCTGGAGAAGGACGCCCACTACAGCTGGAGCAGCACCCTGAGGCTCTCTGCAGATCAGTGGAGGAAGGTGCGCTCTGTGACCTGTGAGGCCACCCAGGGCTCCCAGACTCCGCTCTCAGAGACACTGAGGAGAGACCAGTGTTCCCAGTCCTGATCTGACTCACTGGGACTCTGCTTTCTCTCTCACACTGCTCTCAGTCTGCTCTCTGGCTCTCAGGACATGTTTCAACATCAACCTGTTTTTGCTTTGTCGGTGGTTTCAACATTTTAAAATAATAAAGATGAATGTGTGTATTTTAAAAGTGGTATGTCTTCTGATTCCCTTTCTCTAAAATATTATATATGTAAGGAACCTCATTCACATTAATTCACAAAAGATTCATCCTAGTTTTATTTGTGTTAATCAAGATTGGTACCAATAACCATAGCATGAACATTTTAATGGTAAACCGCAAAGCTCTCTCTTATCACTAATGTTAAAGTAAATCCATGTGTGATGTTCATGTGTTGTTAAACTTTACCTTGAATATATTCTCAAAATCTGAATCAAAAATATTTCCAGGATTATAAAAAGCAGTAAATCATCTGCATAAAGTTAAATAACATTAATCTAAAATGATATTTAACCTATCTAGATTAAACATGACATACAGTACTACAGTCTCTGTCTTTTTAGCAGAATTTAAACATTGATTTTTCGGTACTTGAATTGAAACTAATATTAAACTAAAACAAAGCTCCTATCGTCTTTTCCTAACCACTACTCCATGACGTCTGAGGGAAACGTCACCGGGTTAATGAATAGTGGTTTTTATGGTGTTGTTTTATGATTTATGAACCTGGACAACAGTGAAAAATATATTATTCATTAGGTTGGAATTGAAATATAAACGTAAA